CGTCTCGCTGCGTCTTATATACCTCTCACTTTCCCGCCGCGGATCCAAGGGGCTTCAGGATCCCACTCTTCGGCCAGGCTTGGGGGAGGGGGGGGGGTTGCTAGTGATAATGGTGATGCTCACTTCCAGTGCTGATAGTGTTACTATATCAATGTTGTTAGTCATGTTCTTATAGTAAACGGACGGTGATAATGATAATGATAATAATAATAATAAAAATAATGATGATAACCAAGATTATTAATAGTAATTATGAAAATAATCGTTATCACTATTCATCATCAGCAGCAGCACCAACATTGTTGCTTTTGTTTTTAATATTATTATTATTATAATTGTTATTATCATGGCTATCATTATTATTATTATCATTAATATCATCATTATTATTATTATTATCATCATTTTTGATATTGTCATAAGCATTATCATTATCAATCAGCATTATTGTTATTGTTTTTGACTTTATCCCTTTTAGTATTATGATTATTATTGTAATTATCATCATTGTTACTATTATCATTATTATTTTCTTTCATTGTTATTGTTATCATTATTACTCTTATTATCATCATAATTCTTATTCTTATTATTATGACTATGATTGCCATTGCTATTATAATTATTATTGTTACCATTATTATTATCATTATTATCATTATCATTAACATCATTATCAATATCATTGATATCATTATCTTTCTTGTTATAGTTATCATCTTTATTATTATAGTTATTATCACTTTTATCATTATCATTATTATTATGATGATAGTAATAATAATAACAATGTAATAATAATAATAATGACAATTATAAGAATAGCAATAATAATGATAATAATGATAGTGGTGATAATGATAATAATGATGATAACGATGATGATAATAGTAACAATAATAAGAGTAATATAATAATAATAAGATAGGATCAGATGCACAAGCAGAGTGGCCTGGAACGGCTGGAAAGTTTGGACTAGGATGCACAAATGAGAGAGGCCTAAGGTTGTTGGAGTTTGCGAAGGTACATAACATGGTTATTGTTAACACAAAGTACATGCATAAGATATCAAGAAGAGTGACATGGGTTGCTCCAGACGGCATCACTAAGAACCAGATTGACTACATCCTGGTTGAAAAGAAATGCTCTAGTAGCATAAACGGTCACAAAACAAGATCTTTCCCAGGAGCTGATGTGGGCAGTGACCACAATCTTGCTATGACAACAATGAAGTTGAAATTAAAGAAAATACAACGACCCCCATCTTCGAGGATAAAATATAACACCAGCCGACTGAAAAATGCAGAGACACTGGAAACCTGTAAAATAAAAATAGGTGGGAAGTTTGCACCGCTGCTGGAAATGACAGAAATACAAGAGGTGACAGACTTATTCACTGAAGGAATGAAGTTGCTTTGGAAGTCCTAGGGAAGAAAAGACATAAAAAGGGCAAAGGAAAAATTCTTGCAAGAGAAATGTGAACAAGCCTTCGAGAAAAACGATTCAAGAACTGCATACAAAGTAATTAAAGAGCTAACCAACGAAAGAGCAGCAAGAGTAATAGTAATTGAAGATGCAGATGGAAAACTGCTAACTGAAGCAATCAAAATTCAAAAGAGGTGGACTGAGTACATTCAAGAACTTCACAATTACCCGATCTCAACTGACAGTAACATCTTACATGTATTGGAACAAGAAGGCCTAGGCAAGGGAGAATATGAACCTGACATCCTGAAAACTGAGATAGAAGAAGCTGTGAGATCATTGAAGAATGGATAAGCTGCTGGTTTTGACAACATACTCTCAGAGCTACTGAAATATGGAGATGGTACAATCGAAATTCTGTACAAAATATGCAACTTGGTGTGGAAAAATGGAAAATGGCCTACACAATGGACGAAATCATTAATAGTGCCACTTGCAAAGAAGGGTGATCTGAAGAAATGTACCAACTATAGAACAATTAGTCTTATCAGTCACCCGAGCAAGGTGTTGTTGAAGGTCATCAGCAACAGATTGAAGACGAAAGCGGAGAACATTCTGGCTGAAGAACAAGCTGGATTTAGAAGCGGACGAAGCACCAGTGAACAAATTGCAAATGTCAGAATATTAGGCGAAAAAGATCGTGACCACCAGATGGAGATACATCATAATTTTATCGATTTCAAAAAGGCGTTTGACAAGAGTATGGAGAAAAGCACTGTGGATAGTAATGGAGAAGCACAACATGGATGCCGGATTGGTTAAAGTGATTGAATCTCTATACGAAAATAATAGCAATGCCGTATTGACAAACAGTGGTACATTGGAGTGGTTCCAAACTACTGTTGGTGTTCGTCAAGGATGTATCCTTTCCCCGTGTTTGTTCAACATTTTCTTAGAGCAAATCATGGCAGACACACTTGAGAATTACTCAGGTACAAAGTATCTGGAAAACAGATTACAAACCTTAGATTTGCGGATGATATTGACCTCATTGCCGGATCTAAAGCGGAATTAGCTGAAACCAAAAAAAATTAGACACAACGGCAAGAAACTATGGTATGGAGATAAGTGCTGAAAAAGTAAAACGATGGTCACCTCAAGAACTCGGGTAGATGAGGACAATAACAGTGAGATCACAGTTAACGGTACAAAGTTAGAAGAAGTGAAGACGTTCCAATACCTTGGCTCAACGCTAAATGAAGATGTTACTTCAGAACATGAAATTAAGGAGAGGCTTGCGATTGCCACAAACCAGCTCGCAAAACTGGACAAAATTTGGAAATCAAGCTCAATAAATACTTCAATAAAGATCAAATTGCTCAAGTCACTGATAACATCTATCGCCCTATATGGAAGTGAAACATGGACCTATACCAAGAGTCTGGAAAAGAGAATCAATGCATTTGAAATTCGCTGCTTCAAAAGAATACTTGGAATTACATGGAAGCAGAAAATCACAAACAATGAAGTCAAAGAAAAAATCATCAGGCAGATTGGCATCTACGAACCCCTTTTGGAGACGGCGAAAAGGCGAAAACTGCAATGGTTTGGTCATATCACACGACGGTCTGGGACTCTTGCCTATGACACAATGCACGGAGCAGTTGAAGGAATCAGATGCAGAGGGCGGCCAAGAAAAACGTGGATGAGAGACATCGTGGCTTGGACGAAGCGAAGTGCAGCGACCTGTGTCGGACTAGCGAGGGACCGCGAGGGCTGGAGGAGAATTGTGGACTCATCAAAGTGCCCCAACGTCCAACAGGCTACGGGAGTGACCTGACCTGAATAAAAATAGTAATAATAAGGATAGTAATAAAAGTAATAGTAAATATAATTATGATAATTTATGACACGAATGATAATGACAATATTAACAGTAATAACAATAACAAGTGTATTAACATCATTATCAATTATCATTGTTAATGCTATTATGAATGCTATTACTGTTATTATTATTCTCAATAATATTATTATTATCATTAGTAATATTATCAATATCATCATCATCATTATTATTATCATTGCTTTCGTTATTGTTATCTTTATTACTGTTATTGTTATTGTTATCATTATCTTTTTATTATTTTTTATTGTTATCATATAATTAGTACTAACATTATTATTATCAGCGTTATTATTATCATTATCATCATCATCATAATCATTATTAACATTATCATCATCATCATTATCAGCATTGATATTATTATTGTTATTATCATTTTTAACATTATTATTCTCATTTTTAACATTATCATCATCATTATCAGCATTAATATTATTATTGTTATTATTATCATTTCTAGCATTGGTATTACTATTATATTTTCATTTATGATTATTGTTATCATTATTTTTTCAATATTATTATTATCTTTATCTTGTTATTATCATTATCATTGTTATTTTCATTACTGTTACTATTGTTATCAGTATTATTATTGTTATATTTTTTTCTCAAAATTATTATTGAAATTATTGTTGTTGTTATTGGCATTACCATCATCATGAAGATTATCATCGTAATCATTTTTAACATCGTCATTTTCATCGGATGCATTATTATCATTCTTATCATCTTCATTATCATATTTCCAAGTGGTTACTTTGATCAAAATGATTTTATGTTACTACTAACCATCTTATCAGTGCTTTTTGCGAACCATATAAAAAGGACAAACTGAAATATTTCAAATATATGAACAAAAAGGAGTTGAAAACGATAGTTACAATAACAATGATGATAATGATAATGATGATAATAGTTCTAATAATATGGATAATAAAGATAATGATAATGAATAATAGTAGCAGCAATAACAGTAATGATAATGATAATGATAATGATGATAATGATAATAATCACAATAAAAAATAAAAGCGATATATATATTATTTATAACAATGAAGTAATGAAAATGATAATAATGAAAATGATAATAATTATACTACTAACAATAACGATAACAATAATAATGATACTGATAATGACAAAAATAGTAGTGATGATAAAAACAATATCAACGATAATTATGATAATACTAGTGATAGTAACGATAATATCAATAATAACAACAATAAATGTGAAAATCGTAATGACAATGAAAATAAGAACCACAACAACAGTATTATTACCCTTAAAACAGATAAACAACACAAGTTTATTTCTCTTAAAAACAGAAAAAATACTAACCAATTATAGCAGCAATGATCAGAAACTGGAAAATAAATGAATAATAATAAAGATAATAATAATAATAATGATAATGATTATAACAACAACAATGATATTGGTAGTAATGAACTAAATGAAAAAGATCTGAAACTTTGTTACCAAGTTTAGATCATGCACGAACTGACGGTGTCTGAATGTTTACTGATAATTCTAGGGCGAGGGGTAGGGAGGAGGGTGTGGTCGTGGGTGCCTGAGCATGAGTGATATCTCTTCTGCAAGATCAAGCAAATATGTGATTTGTAAGGAAAATGAAGAACGCCAAAATGGTTATCAAATC